TCTTTATCGAATTTTTGCAACCTACCATGCACAGTTTTCACCACTACACTTAATTAATCACTAAATTTAGATTTCTTAAGGATAACCTTTCTATAATTTCTGGTGACAGTGACTTGATCCTGAATCACTATCATAAACCTCAGCTTTTCAATAAACAAATATGCATGATTCAGTCATTTGCTAAATACTTCCTTGTTAACACATTGTTGTTTGACTTCCTCTGGATGTCACCCATGGAGTGCCTTTTGATTCCACTAATGCATTTTTGCTCTCCAGAAATAAGTCACTTTTAATTACATTTGACAGATCAAATGGCACTATACATGTTATCAGTCTTTACGATTGCTTTGGGAGGTCAACCAGGGAAAACAATATTTATTAAGCACGTGTTATGTGCCAGGCACTGTGCTTCATGCATAGGATACAAAGAAAGGGGGAAAGAGTTTCTGCTCTCAAGAAGCTTAAATTCCAATGGTAGAGACAAGACATAAATAACTAGTTACACATGAGAGCTACACAAAGTAGAGGTAATCTCAGAGGGTAAAGCACTAGCAGCTGGGGAGACTAGGCAAGGCTTCCTACAGAAGGTAATATTGAAATCAGCTCTCTGTTGGTTACGAAAGTGTATTTCTCTTTGTATTTCACCTGTTTTATTGTGTGCTCCTTTTTGACCATGAAATGTTCATCTTTCCGTAGCTGTTTCAGGCTGATGAGCCATGTGTTTTTGTTAATATTGTGAATAACTTTTGTTAGGATACTTTCAAAATCCATTCTGGCCCATTTTATGGTTTTGAAAATATACATTAAAACTAGGATTTCATCACTGTTAATTGCCTTAAACATGATCTTCCCATTAAATTTTGATTTCTGGATGCCTCAGTAAGTTTCTTAACATAATCAGCCACAGATTTCTTGATAGCTTTATGCTCAGTGTCTTGCCTGGAAGGAGATAAATGTATTTGTAAATATCGCCTTCTTTTTGGCTTCAAGTTAACCTACAGATTCAAGCACACAGCACTCAGTCCTTATCCTTCCTTGTACTACACTAAGGATTTTGCATTCATTTAGTTCAAATGGCATTTTGATATCACTGAAGTAAGAATCCATGGGATTAAGGTTCTATTTAATGTGTTTTTCAGGAGCATCATATTGCTTGATGTCAACTGTACATCAAGTGATCAATTCAATTTTTTGTTTCAATTCCCCCTTTAATTTTGAAAGTCATACCTAGTTGTATTTGGGAGAGATGATAATGAATTTAAGGCTAGGCAGAACTATAATGGACTTAAACTGTCTCTTTGAAAAATGTCATTTTCTATCAATTGTTCTCAATATTATTGTGTTGATGGTATATTTAAAATAAACAATTTCCATGTAGACATCAACTACTCTAATATTCTCACTCTACTTGGATCTATTTTATATATTTTATTGTATATTATATTATAACATATAATATAGAATGTTATTATATATTACATATATAATATCTAATATTAACCCATTTCGAGGCACAAGGGACTGTGGCACAGTATCCACTCCTTTCTCCTCTAAGAGGCCTATCTGCTAAGAACCTATATGTGAGATCCAGACTGGGTTCAGGCCTGAGGAAGTCTGGCCTCTAGTAAGAGGGGTTAGGCTCCCTTTTCTCGTACTCTTTGGCTTGTTGTAAGTACAACCCTGGCAATCTGGTGAAAACAAAGTGTATATGACTTATGTTTTAGTTCATGTCCAGGGACTCACCAAAAAGGGGGGGAGCAGAAATATTTATTATGAATCAAGTATGGGATGAGTATTTATTTCCTATACACAAAAGAAGTGGTTAACACAAAATACAAGCATCACTAACAGATTTAAAGCCATCAGTAACATAACAGTCTACTGGGAGGCTGAGTCATAAATACTTGAACATGAAACAATTCATGGTACTACTGACTATGCGTTCCACATTTTACCTCAGTTCTGCACTTTCCCTCTATAGCAGATGTCTTCTGACAAGTCAGGACAGGTATTGGGTTCATCCTCCTGTCAGTGGTCACTTTCATCAAGAACTGGATTAGCTGTTGGGGACTGCTACCAGTCAGCTCCAACCAAAAGGTGCAGGATCTCTCAATTTCTTAGATTCACAAGGTGGCATGCAAGACTGAACATGTCTTGGATAGAGCACCAGCCCTGGAGTCAGGAGGACCTGAGTTCAAATCTGGCCTCAGACACACAACACTCACTAACTGTGTGATTCTGGGCAAGTCACTTAACCCCAATTGCCTCACAAAAAAAAAAAACTGAACATGTCAATCGAAGGACTGATGCTCATTCATCTAAGATCGGGAAAGAACAGAGAAGCAGTCCCATATCCAGGATCAAGTTCACCTATGAAGGACTGGGATTTATCTGTCATGTGCTCATAGCTGCATGGTGGCCAAGGTGGAAGACAGAGCAAGCTGCCTTTTTCCCTCACCTCTTACTGAAATTCCAATGCAAAACAACTATCACTATGGGAGAGTCAAAGGAAGAGAAAGAAGAGAAAATATCTCTTCTTTTCAAATAATGAAGTACCTGTCCCTCTCCGCCTCATGGTGAGAGGGCAGGAGAGCGAACAACTAATGACGGTTTGTTGCGTCACACTGAAGTATCAAGTACTTCCAATGCTGAGCCACCACACAGCCAGAAACAGGCAGGGGCTCATGATCCTCAGTGTACCCAAGTGCTGAATCACACAAATGCTCATCTAGATATAGGAAAGACAGCTTTGCTCATGTTCCATAGTATGGCCCCATTACATATGAATAAGCCATGAGTGAATTGAGTCAAAGGCTTTGCCACAATCAACAAATGAAACTTGGATATTATAATTCCATCTATTGACTTTTACCAATAATATTATTCTTTAAAGCTGAGATTTTTTTTGCCACACACTTTTTGTACCCCATTTAGTACATTGTTTTCTTGTTGGTATTTATAGATTTTTTTGTAGTGATATGAGCTGTGAGTCCTTGTATAAAGTACATACACATATAATTGGCTGCTAGTATTCTCGTCTTTGGGTAGCAGATATGTGAAGCCTTCTGTTAAGTAAAGTGGGATCAGTCTTGCTTCTGAGAGGAAGCTAGTAAAGTCCTGCGCTAGTAATTCACGTATCACTGGGTAGTATCTGATCTAATAATCATGAATCTTACCCAGGCTGAGCACTTTCCAGTTCTGCAGAGAAGCTAGGGTCTCATTCAGAGGTGTAAAATTCACTGCCCACCTGCTGCATGCAGTCAACACCCTCCAGTGAGGCCTGAAACAGATTAAAATGTAATTAGGAAATATTTAACAAAATAAATAAAATGTGATATAACATAGACAGTGTTAATTTGTGGTTTTCTAAGTCAATCTGGCCCTGCAGAAATTCCTTTCTTTTTGAGTTCCAGTCACCTCTCTTGTTATAGTTGTTCTGTTATTCAATATATTTGTGATGAACGAGCTTTCTGTTTCTCATTTTATTCAACTTGTCTTTTCATTGTGTTGGACTTCTTGCAGCCGTATTTAATCAGAAATTTTCCACTTCCTCTTATTCTCTCTCTCTCCTCTGATTGTTGTTGTTCGTTGTCATCATTGTTATTGTCATCATTGTCGTCATAGCAAACCTCTTCTCTCCACTGACATGGCTACCATACTAGATCAAATACTCATATTTCTTGACTGGACTATTGTAATGGCCTCCTAATTGGTCTCTCTCACTCCGATCTCTATTAATTCCAATTTGTTGTCCACATACATGCCAAAATAAGTTTCCTAGGGCATATATCTGACCATATCACTCATAATAAGAAAAAAAAACCTTCCTAGTTCTTCTAAAATAAATTGGAAAGTTCTCAGCCATGGATTTGAGGCTCTCTGCAACTTGGCTTATGCCTCCCTTTCTGACATTATTTTAACATTTCTCCCCTCATACCTTCTAGGTTCCAGTTAAATTGGAATGCTAGACATTCCTCCAAATCTGACATTTCGTCTCTTACCTCCATGTCTTCATTCAAGCAACTCTGTCGAGGGTTCTGCTTCCTGCTTCCTGCTATCCTGCTTCCGAGGAGCTCTAATGGAGGAGATAGAATGCAAACAACTATGTACAAAAAAAGCTATATACAGGACAAATTGGAGATAATCAACAGAAGGAGGGCACTAGAATTACAGGGAATCAGGAAAGGCTTCCTGTAGAAGGTAAGATTTTAGTTGGAACTTGAAGGAAGCCAGGGAAGCCATGAAGTGGAGATAAGGAGGGAGAGTATTCCATGAATGGAGAAAAGCCATTAAAATGCCCAGAATTGGGAGATGAAATGTCATATGGGAGGAAAAACAAGGAGGCAAGATTCACTAGAGCACATGGGTGGTATGATATGTGAGTAAGTATAAGAAGACTGGAAATGTGGGGAGGTCAGGTTATGAAGAGCTTTGAATGCCAGAGGATTTTATTTGATCCCAGAAATCATATAACATGAGTTTGGACAGACTTCAGGAGACACTTAGCAATAAAAAGGCCTGGTGTGCTATGCTCCTTGGGATTATGAAGAGTCAGACATGACTGAATAACTGAACCACTAAAGAAATGATAGGAAACCATTGAGGTTTATTGAGAAGAGGGGTGACATGGTCAGACTTGTGCTTTAGGAAGATGAATTTGACAGCTGAGTGGAGTTTGGACTCGATTGGGGAGAGACATATGTGAGTAGCAGATGGAAGTGAGGACTAGAAACTGAGGATAAATGCAGCAATGTAGTGTGTTCCTGTAAGAGTGGTATCAGGAGAGCTAAAGTCTGGGGAGATGGAGGTTTGTGATAAATGCTAATGACAACATAAAGGGCTTTAGCAGGGAGTGGGACAAAGGGAGGGAGCAAAGGAAAGAACAGGGCCCTACTTGGCATGGATTGGTTGATGATAACAGATGGAATGGGATGGAATATACTTGTGCTGATACTGATCTTGCCTCAGACTGTTGTCATCTCTGTCCTCTTGGTCTTTTATCTTTACACATAGGATAATTTTGTCTCCAGTTTCATCTTTCAACAGCTTCTCAGTAAGCTTTTGTCTTTAAATCCGTCTCATTGGTCGGTATGACTCTCTTGCTGGGCTTCTTTAGCCCTCCTATGAAAAGATATTAATTTTTCCTGAGTTGGGCTAGTCACTACATCCTCAGTTCATTATCAAAAATTTTTTACATTATTAACTGCACACAGGTCAAATGATTTTTATCTGGCAGAGCATTTGCAGGATATGTCTTTAGCTCAGGCCATCCATGTAGACCTCAACCTCCTTGGGTCATTGTAACTATGTTGCTGTTTTTTTTTTCTCTCAGGTCACATTACTCCTTTTTCTACCAATCTTAATAGTAAGGCTCAACAGTAAGGCTCAATTCTCAGATCTGCATGGTGATTCTTCTTTTTTGCTGAATGACACAGCTAAGCCTGGGATAGCATATGCCATCCTAGCACTTAGGCCAGGCTTATAGTGCTATTTGATAAGTAATTTCATGTTTTTCTGCTCTCGGTGACATCCCAAATTCAAAAGCAAGGCCCTTGATACTTTCTATTAAAGTGTACTTTTTTTCCCCAGTCCAGATGTCTGCCAACCTTTTAGTAATTCTATAGGATGCCTAGATTAATTCTCTGCTGATTATTCTTCAGGATGACAGGGCTTTTGCTTTGAGAAGATTCCTGATGTGGGCATAGAATATTTTTGTGTTATAAGAAATCTGTGCTTAATGCTACCAACATTAGAGGCATCTTTCTCTAACCTAAATATGACTCAGTTTTCCTATTAGCAATGACTCATCTAATCTTCTAAATTCTTAATTGATTCCTCTTCCTCAGAGGGTGGTTTAGAGATTAATTCCTACCCCTTGGGTAGTTTCTTCCAGTTTTACTCTGCTAATTAGCTCTTTGCATTTCTCCATCTCTTTTTCAGTTCCCTCTAACAGTCTTATAATGTCCTTGTCCTTACATTCAGGATGTACTTCTAATATTAAGATGTTTTTCCACTCAATAACTCACAGTACTTATTAAAACCATCAGCCTCCATTTGGTGGATGGGATTAGGACCTGAGTTCAAATCTGACCTCAGACACTTACAAGTTGTGTGACCCTGGGCCAGTCACTTAGCCCTGTTTGCTTCAGTTTCTTCATTTGTAAAATGAGCTAGAGAAGGAAACGGCAAACCACTCCAATATTTTTGACAAGAAAACCCCAAATAGGGTCATGAAGAGCTAGATGCAACTATCAACAAAACAACATTGCTAAATTACTGTCAGGGATCTTTCAAAGGGTCAGGGTGAATAGGAGAGGGGACAGAGGATGGACAGGAAATAGGCAAATATTCCTTTTCCAGAAAAGGAAAGAAGGTAACTACTTCAAGCTTACAAGCTAATGAGCTTGAGTTTGATTCTTGATCAAATTATAGAACATATTAATAAAAATATTTCTAGTGAGCTCAGATAGATCCTAATTGGTATGAATAATGAAGTAGTCACATGCATTCAAACTCACACTGTTCGAAGTTATAGTTACATAAAACATGGCCATTTGGACAATCATCTTCTGTCCTCCCAATAAAGCATGCCCACACTTTCCAACGGAAACAAGCAGTGCAAATTTAAATAATTAAACCACTTTACAGGGATTTATTATTCAAACTAATCAGAACTTGACTAAAAAAAAAGATGAGATGATCACTAGGAGCCAATTAGAATGAACAAGTCAGGGGGACAGAGCCAAGATGGCGGAGTAGAATGACCAAGCCATATCACACTAACTTTACTTCCTTTTATGACACTGTTATTAGATTAGTAGATAAATAGAATGTTATGGACATGGTCTATCTAGATTTCAGCAAGGCTGGGCGATAACTGGAGATCCTCATATAGAAGAGGGATTAGACTTATTTTATTTGGCTCCAGAGTCCAGGACTCAGAGTTTCTAACCCAAAGGACAAAAGTTATAGGGAGACAAATTTAGGCTCTGAGTAAGGAAGAACTTTGTAACAATTACAACTATCTAAAAAGCAGAATTAGCTGCTTCTGGAAAGTAGTAGATTTCCCCGTACTGGAGATCTTCAAGCTAAGGCTAAATGATCACTTGTCAGAAAAGTTACAGAGGTGATTACTATTCAGATACAGCTTGGGCAAGATAGCTTCTAAGATCCCTTTCAACTATGAGTCTATGATTCTGTGGAAATCTATCGTAGGACACAACATGGAGAGATGGGGATAGAATGGCAATAGACTTAGGTAAGTTCAGAATTGGTAGACTGATCTATGTTAAGCTAGTGGGAAATATCTAGCAGTGTCACAGGGCTGTCCTATCCAATATTTTTCCCAGTGACTTGGATAAAGGCATAAATGGCATGGCTATCAAATTTGCATATGTCAGAAAGTGGGGAGGGAAAGCTAATATATTGGTTAACAATCCAATCTCACATCCCAACCCCTCTTAATTCTAGTGTCTTCTCTCTGTTAATCAGTTCCTGTTTGTCCTGTGTATAGCTTGTGTGTACATATTTGTTTGCTTATTGTCATTTCTATTAGATTGTGAGCTCCTTGAGGACAGAGGCTGTCTTTTGCCTCCTTTTATATACCCAGAGCTTAGCACAGTGCCTGGCCCTTAGTAGGTGCTTAAAAAATATTGATTGATTGATTGACCTCTAAAAAAATCAGAATCCAAAAAAATTTTAACAAGTTGGAATGGTGAGCAAAAGTTAACAAGATAAAATTTAGTAGCCGTAAATATCGCTATAAGCCAGATTGGTTAAGGACCAAACAAAAATTCATCCTCCCCAGCACCCTAGCCAGTCATTTTGGAGCCAGTCCTAATCCCTGAAACCCAGTTAGGAGTCATCCTCTGTACTCTCAAAAAAGCACTAATGGGCAATGCATGCCTACACTTTCCTTGGAAGGCTTCAAGTATGGCCTTAGTGATGGATTGCATATCTATAATGCTAGGATGAGCCAGCTAAGCTTGCAGAGGCTCATCAGCGAAGCTTGACTTCTGGATAATAATTTTTTGTTTGTTTCTAATGTATCACAGAGATTACCTACTGATGTCTGCTGGGCAGCAGTGGATAGAGTGTGAAACTTGGAATTAGAATGATCTGAGTTCAAATCCTACCTCAGGTACTTACTAGCTCTACTGTGATACTGGGCAAATCACTTAACCTCTGTCTCAGCTTCCTTATCTATAAACTAAGGATATTGGCACCTACCTCCTAGGTTTGTTGTAAGGTTCAAATGAGATAATATGTTTAAATCACATTGCAAACCTTAAAGATATATATACATATATACATATATATATATGTATGTGTGTATGTATATGTATACACATACATAATATATAATATGTATGTTTGTATGTTTATGTATGTGTATATGTGTATGTGTGTGTATATATGCTAGGTAAGAATTGAGGCATTAGTCCTTTTTGAGAATGAAGGATTTATAGGAAATACATATATATATATATACATACATATATACACACACACATCCACATATACATATAAATATACAGATATGCATCTATTATAATGTGTTGAGGACCTATGTCAATAGATGGTGTTCTCCCTCATGTATATTTAAAGTATTTAAGTAATTGTGTCAAGGGAATTTAGTAAATATATGTGTGCATGAGTGCGTGTGTGTGTTTGTGTGTTTGTGTGTGTGTGTGTGTGTGTGTGTGTGTGTAGACTTGGGTTGTGTCATTAACTCATTATTGACCATGAGAAAATCATTTCCCCTCTCTGGGTCCCAGTTTCATCATCTACCTCATAAAGTAGAGAGTTTGGAACAACTAATTTTCAAGGTCCCTTTCAGATCTGTTATTTTATCTCCTATATATGTTCTAAGGTCCTCCACTTTGATATTCTGTGCTCTATATCCTAAGGTTTCAATCAGCCTTGGCATTCTATATTCCATGCGATAGTCAATCTAATGATGGCTGGAGCTGGGGGCAAGGAATATAGTCCTGTACCACTCTGACATTGACTGGATTGTTATTGAATCCTTAGCATACCTTAGCACACATTATGTAGTAGGGTGTGTTCTCCCCATGCATTCACACTTCATGAAATCATTTTACTAGTTTGAACAAGGCAGAGAGAGAGAGAGAGAGAGAGAGAGAGAGAGAGAGAGAGAGAGAGAGAGAGAGAGAGAGAGACAAGAAAGCCCAAGTAACAGAAAAGCCAGACCTAAACAGTATTTACAGTATTTAACTATTTCGTCTGTGCAGTGAGTCTCTGTCTTGTTCCAGCAAGTCTAGAATGTCCTGAGGGCAAAGACAAACTGGGTCTGTTGGCCTTGGCACCCCTGCTTAAGGGTGGAGCAAAGCAGGCAGTAAGAGACCCTTTTATTCCTTCTGAGGGCTGCTGTAGGTGGAGGCCTCTTCTGGGATCTGACTCTTCTATAACAGGTGGCCCCCTGCTAGAAACCTGGCTAAAAAGCAATGATAGCTTAGGCCCAGCTTGCTAATGGCTCCAATGCCTTCTCTTGAATAGCCTGTCATACCCCATCCCTAATAACCTGCCCCCAACCACCTTAAACCTATGGAGAAAGGGCCCTGAATTCCCTGGGGGGAAGAAGGAGGGGAGGTGAAGTAGGTACCTACTGCTGACTGGGAGTCAGGGCTCAGTGGCATATGGAAGGGCAGCGGTCCCTCCCATAAGGGACCTTTTCCAACCCCCGCCTCTCAGCTGGTCCAGGCTTGGGGCAGAGCATTCAGAGCTTTCAGGACTCTGGGCTTGTACCCAGGGAAAGCAACCCAAGAGGACAGCATTTCATTTACTATTTGAAATCCCCATGACTCCTGAAACAAATTTCCCAGGGGACAGGAATATTAAAGAAAAGTGTGTGTACACTGTAGCATGTATGTGTTTATATGGTGATGTCTGTGAAATTATTAGATATGCACAGAGACATAAGCCATTGTGCGTTGTCTGAGACTACTTGGCTCAGCTGGCTAGAGTTAGAGGCCTAGGCTTGTAAAGACCAGTCTGTACACGGGTTTAAGGTTACATAGACCATTCGTTCAACAAACATTTATTAAGTTGCATGCAAGGCACTGCACTTGGCCCTGGGAATATAAAGACAAAATGAAAAGCAGTCCTTGTCCTTGTGCATCTTACCCTGTACTAGGAGTTGTGGGATAGGGATGAACTGAGTTACAAAGTTTTGTTTCATTCCTAGGCCACCTATTACAGTACCCGAAACACCTTCCCTTTGGTTACAAAAAAGTGTGGATTTCTCCATGCAGGCAACAAGTCAACTCAACAAGCATTGATAAAGCATTTAATATGTGGGAGACCTTGTGTACAGAGTGGGTAAAGTGTTACTTTTTTATTAAATAAAAATTTGCTATGTATATGCAATGTATATAATAGCCTGGTGTAGTGGAAAGAGTCCAATATTAGAGCCAGAAGATCTGAGTTTGAGTTCTGGTTCTGACACTTAAGTAGCTCTGTAATCCTGGGCAAGTAACTTAACTTCTCTATTCCTCAGTGTGTTTTTTTTATCTATAAAATGGGTACAATAATATTTGTATTGCCTACCTCACAAGGTGCTAAAGAAAATGCTTTTTAAAACTTAAAGCACTTTATAAAAGAAGGTTATTACTATTCACATAACATCAATGAACATTTATTGAACACCTACTGTTTGCAGGGCACTGGTCTAGAGCTCTGCTAGGGTGTAGAGGGATTATGGTCTATGTTGGTAAAGGAAATACCCCCACTGATAAAATCATGGATTCTTGAAATTTAATATGTAAAGCACATGAGGTTCAGGAAAAAATATCATTACCCATTGATGAGATCAAAGAAGACTTTAATGAAGGAAGTGGCATTTTCAATAGGGCTTTAAAGAATGGATAAGAATTCACCAGGCAAAAAGTGGGAGGAATCATGTTCCAAGGCATGAGAAATAGGAAGCACAAAGACATGGGAACAGAAGAAAACAGATCACATTCAAGGGAGGTGGATCATCCAATTTGACGGAGAGTATGGAAAAGGGAGAAATATCAGGCTAGAGAAGTGGGCTGCTGATGGGAAGGCTAATGGGTAGAGTGAGCAAACACAATGTGGTAGGAAGAGCATTGAATTTGGAATCAGGAGTTGGGCTAAAACCCCATCTCTGTCAAGTATTAGCCATATGTCCTTGGACAAGTAAGTCATTTGACTTTTCTGAGACTCAGTTTCCTATCTGTAAAATGAGAATAATACCTATCATATCTACTTAAGATTATTGTAGGGAACAATTGAAATTATTTTTAAAGTGCTTTGAAATCTTTAAGTGTTACATAAATATCAGCTACTATTTCTATGTGATGCAGAAAATAGGCGCTAATGGGTAAATATAACACGTATAGTACCAGGGGCACTCCAAAATGTGCACATCACCCAATTAGCTGCCCTAGGCTCAAGGTACTCTGTGGATGCATATCACATAAAACTCTAGTTTACAAGCCCTAATCAATGTGTTCACCTTTGATTATCAGCCAGAAGACACAATTAGTTTTAAGCAAAGGCTGTTAATGAAATGACATAGTAAAAAAAAATAGTAACAAAACATTTCCCTGATCACCCTACGGCATACCCTTCCATAAATTCACAATAGTATCAGTGGGTAGAATGGATACACATAAGGGACACACATTGAGAGATATGATCACATCACCAAGACACTTGTGAAAAGGCAATCCATGCCTTCCGTGATTCAGGCTTCTAATGTCTTCTAATGATGTCATCTTTTCTAATGTCATTATGTGGCTCCTAGTCTCATGGTTTCTGCTGGAAAGGCCTGTTCTCTGCAGTCCTCCACTACCTCTACCCCCATCCTTTGGTGTTGCTGAATGACCCTGGTCATCTTGTCAAGACAGTGCTCCAAGGCAGTCTCCACCACCTCTAGCTTCCGTTCAACTGAAATACCCAGCTGTCTCCTTCTTGGGAAAGAATGAGTGTTGTTGTTTTGTTCTTAGCTTAAAATTGATTTCTAGCTTTTTTAGAAAAGGCAAGAAAACCCTTGCCCTGGGACCGGCAGAAAGCTTCCTCTGTGGTGTTCCTTCAGAGTCTTTGATATTACTGAGCCTTTTAGCCCTCTACCAGGAGATTTTCAGCTTTAGGGGGGGAAAAGAGCAATGTCATCAGAGCTAACTAGGACCTGAAGCTTACTTTGTCTTTTGTTTGGATTTCTTTTCTAAGTCTAGAGCTTGGGTTGATCAGTCAGAGATTTCCCTCTGACTTATGGTGATTATTCCATATACTTTCGTAGCTTATAAACAGCATTGGGGTTTCAGAGTTCCCTAGGATTTCAAATCCTGTCTCTTCTGCTCTCCCCTGTAAATGACCAGGAAGAGAAGCAATTGGAGAGACAATGTCAAGGGGGAAGGGAAGAAGTTCGTTATCTATGCCACCAGCCCAGGTATGTTCCTGAGCTTTCCATATGCAGATGCTACTAATCTAAACCTAAAACAGGGCTTTGCCTGACACACTTATACATGTGCACATATCTGTTTGAAACTGGTGTATGTCCGTGGGCACACTGGACTAGCAGACCTCTCCCTTCAGTTCTGCAGTTTCTTAGCTATAATTTCAATAGACACAGGGACCTGCCTGGGTCAGTCACTCCACCACTCCCTATCATATCTACTGGTTGCAACCTATAGAGTTGAAAGATTAGCTTCAGAGGGTAGCTATGCCTTACGCATTATGGAAGGGACAGAGATCAGAGTGTCATAGGATTTAGAGCTGGAAGAGTCCAACTTTATCATTTTACAACTAGGGTAACTGAGGCCCGGAGAGGGAAAGTGACTTGCTCAATGTCACTGAGCAGAACCAGGTTTCAGAATCAGGTTTTCTTTTTTCTCTTTTTTTTAAAAAATTTTTTTTCCAGGCAGTTGGGGTTAAATGACTTGCCCAGGGTCACACAGCTAGTAGGTATCAAGTGTTCGGGCTAAGGTCGGATTTGAACTCAGGTCCTCTTGAATCCAGGGCTGGTGCTCTATCCACTGAGCCACCTAGCTGCCCAGGGAACCAGGTTTTCTAACCCAGATTGTGTGCCCCTTCTCACGCAGCATAGATAAAAGTATGAGTGAGGGGAACAAGCATTCATTAAACATCTACTATGTGTCGGGCACTGTGGCTAAGCACTGTAAAATGCTAAGCAAAATGTATTTTGGCATCTGACCTTGGCACCAGAGAGTGTGACTCTTACTTGTACAGAACAGCAGGATGCCTGTCACTGGCAAGGTCATTTAAAAATACCTATCTCTAGGGGCAGCTAGGTGGCACAGTAGATAGAGGACCGGCCCTGGATTCAGGAGGAACTGAGTTCAAATCCGGCCTCAGACACATAACACTTATTAGCTGTGTGACCCTGGGCAAGTCACTTAACCCCATTGCCTAACCAAAAAAACCAAAAAACAAAAAACCTATCTCTTACCCTGGGTTCAAAATTTGCCTCTGATTCCTGATAGCCTATTGATCTTGAATACATTTAACATTTCTGAGCCTCAGTTTCCAAAACTGTAAAATGCAAGAGAGGGGTCAAATTGCCTCTGAAATCCTTTCTAACTCTAGTTCTATTAATCTTAAAATCCCTTTTGTCTCTCTCTTTAGAACAATCCCACTCTTAGTGTGTTTGAAATTTCTGTAGAGACCATGGGACTGCTAAGCCAGGCCTGCCTGTCATGGATAGACAAATTCCTTCCCCTTTGCAGACCTGCTCTTACTAGGGGGAGGGGAAAAGAAAGGGAGAGGCCAGCCCCGCATAGTTCACATTTTTGAAATGTTGCATCTGTGCCAGAACAGCTGGCATTTCTCATAGAGACTGCTCTTATTATATGGGGGTGAGTGAGAAGCTGGCCAGGGAGGGAGTAAGCCCAGAGAAGCCAGGACCCGAGATGGATATGGAGAAGCCAGATCAAACTTTAGAGAAGATAAACTGTGGGCATCTCAGGAGATAAAAGATCTAATCTGAGACAGAATGGACAGGTGCTGCTGTGGAAAGGCTATTGTGGGGAATCAGATGATTTTTTATTCACTTTTCCACTCAAATGAGAATGAGAGAGAAGCATTTACAAACTATAAAATCCTCTGTAAGTGATAGTAATTATTATAATTTTTTTCCTGGACTATAAGGTCCTTGAGGACAGAGACCTGTTTTTATATACTCTTCATAATCTCTCCATTTAAGTAGCAGTATTTTGCACGTAGTAAGTGTTCCATAAAAGCTTGTTAAATTAAATCGAATTACATACTGCTAGCTAAGTTCTTGGGCTGGTTTCTACTCATCAGGGGCTCCAGGTAGGACAGGGTGGAAATGGGAAGGAAGCACAATACATACTGTTTGCTTGTCCAGCCCAAACTACTCTGCAGGTAAGATCAGGTCACAGGAAGCATGTTGGCCAAGGTGCTTGGTTACAGTGAAGCTGTGAAAGGGAGAAGTCTCAGTAAGAAACATACCACAGAGGACATGTTAGTGGAAAGAGAAAAGGGAATGGGATAGACTTTGGGGATGAGAATTTTGTAGGCTGACTATATGTTTTGTTAGTCACAGATCTTTTCCTGCTTTTCAAATCTCAAAGCACTATACAAATGTGAATCATGCCACTGTTATGAATACTTTTGCTGTGGTTGTTGCTGTCAGTAATAATAAGGAGGAGGAGGAGGAGGAGGAGGAAGAAGAAGAAGAAGAAGAAGAAGAAGAAGAAGAAGAAGAAGAAGAAGAAGAAGAAGAAGAAGAAGAAGAAGAAGAAGAAGAAGAAAGAGGAGGAAGAGGAGATGAAGACGAAGATGCCTCCCTGAATGACTAGCCAGCCTCTGGTTCTATGACCTCTTCTCCCTTCCCACTCAATGCCCTTTCTCTCTCTCCAATGAGGAACTTGCTCCCTTTCATCCACCCTGAGGTATCAGTGACTAACAACTAACAGCAAGATCCAGAGGTCACAGAACATCAGATTCAGAAGAGGACCTAGAGACCACTGAGTCCAACCCTATCATTATATAGTGGAAGAAATTAAGGGAGTTGGAGTCAGAAGACCTGGGTTCTAAGCCAGACTTGAACATGGTATCTGTATAGCTTTGGCAGGGAGAGGTAAAGAGAAGCACCTACAATGTGTCAAGCACTTCACAAACATTATTTCATTTCACACACACACACACAAAATATCCCTAGGTTGTTATAGGTACTCTTATTACTCCCATTTTACAACTGAGGAAACTGAGGCAGATAAAAGTCAAGTGACTCATCCATGATCACTTAGCTAGGAAGTTTCTGAGGCTGGATTTGAACTCAGATCTTCCCGACTCCAGTTGCAGTGCTCTATTCATCGTGCCACCTAGCTGCCCGGGCACTGGGTAAGTCTTAGCTTAGCTTCACTTCTCTTCAGCCCTTACTTCCCACATCTAGAAAGTCAAGGAACTGAACTAGATGACCTCAAAGTTTCCTTCTAGCTCTATCTTATGATCCTGTAACTTTAGGTGATTTACCCAAAGTCCCAAATAGAACTAAACATCTGACTTCCAGCTCACTGCTCTTGTCACAGTGCCAAGCTCCCAGATGGATGGGCATTTTATTTTATTTTATTTTACTTTATTTTAATTTTTTAGACAATTTTATTTAACGCTTTGAATTCCGAATTCAATCCTTCCTTCCCCTCCCCCTTCCCTAAGATGGTAAACAGTCAGATAAACGCTATATATGTGCAATTATGTAAAACATTTCATATTTGAAACATGAAGCATGAAAATGCTGTACCAGAAAGAGTACAGGTCTTGGCTTCAAATTCTGACAGGGTGACCTTAGCTACTTTACATCTTTAGGCCTTAGTTGTCTTGTCTGAAAAATGCAGGGGTTTGATTAAGTAGCCTGTAGGACCTCTGCTAGCATGATCCTGTATAATCCAATATATCAGGACTTTTTAACCATTTTTGTGTCATGAACCACTCTGGCTGGCTGTCAAAGCCCATGGACCTTTCTTCAGAATATTTTTTTTTAAAAAACATTATTTATTTATTTTAAACATTCTTTTCTTTTTAAATTTTGAGTTCCAAATTCTCTTTCTCCCACCCTTTCCCCACCCACTGAGAAGGCAAGGAAGATGACATCAATTAGAATGTGAAATCATTAGTCATTTTGCTGCAGCACAAAAAAAAAGCAATAAAAATAATTGAGAAAACTATACTTTGATTTGTATTCACATTTCATCATTTTTCTCTCTCCTCTGGAATCATCTTGGATCATTGTATTGATCAGAGTAGCCAAGTCTTTCACAGTTCATCATTACAATATTGCTGCTACTTTGCACAAACTTCTGGTTCTTTTCATTTCACTCTGCCTCATTTCATACAGGCCCTGCCATGTCAGAATGTTTTTAAATGTATAAAACACAACACATAGGACTGTAAAGGAAGCTAATTATATTGAAATGGAGTTATCAAAATATTTTTATAAATAAGTTCATAATAAATGGTTCTCTGGTAGTGGAATTTCAGGCCTAAGGATATATTTGTAGTCTTAAAGGATTCCACCTTCCTTCTTCTTGGGGTAAGATAAAGGCTGATTCATCTTGCTATGAGTTGGTGTGGCTGCAGTTACCTGAGTTTTATCTGACAGCTGGTGTCATCAAATATCATTGTATATAGGCAACAAGTACACCCATGTGTTTCTGTTGGGAAGGAGAAACTCTTTTCTGGTAGCCTAGGATTTACAAAGATCTTACTTTTCCTAAACTGAAGCTGCCCTGTAAGTATTTAATCCTCAGAATTCCTTGCCCCCAGTGCAAAGGAATCATCTAGACAAATCTCACTTTCACAGTTGATTGTTTCTAGACACAAAATCCACAGCCTGCTTTTAGAAAGCCAAACCTCAGGAACAGCCAGGAGAGGGATCAGTGACCCCACTTTCTGGAGCTGAGGGAAGCTGTTAAAATACTCTTGGTATATTTAAGGCACTGGGCTTAAGAGAGGAGGAAAATGGAAAAGGAGAAGAAAAAGAGGGAAGGAAAGACAGAGAGAGGAGAAAAGACAGAGTGGGGAAAAAGAAAAACATAGAAACAGAAAAAAAAGTCAAGAGGAGGGAGAGAAACAGCATAGGAAAGAGAAAGGGGAAAGAGAAAAGGGAATGAGATATAAATATTGGGAAAGGGAGAGAAGAACCATATTGAGGGACTTTTTCTCCTAGGGTAAGTACCACAAAACACATCCAGGGCTTGTGGCTGAAAGCATACTCACTTTTGGAAGGCAGAACCCAGGATGCTGGCACAAAGCTACTAATGGGGGTTATTCCATGTAAAGGGCTAGGAAACAGGGCAGAGTAGAGGAGAGGTCCATCCCAGCCCACTATCTACTAGCTTTCAATTTTATTCAATTTATTCTTGCTAACTAGGTGTTAAATTCTTTTGTTTGCTTCTAAGTGCTGAAGGATGAGTTCTGTAAGCACTCTCTAAATTCAGCAACATGAGGCAAAACCCTGATCATCCCATCTTTGTTATAGCTCTGAGAGAAAGAAGCTAGTAATATTTAGAGTTAGAAAGAAACTTACAAGCCATCTAGTCTAGTCTCACTGTTTTATAGATGAGAAAACTTGGGTGTGAAGAAAGGATTTGACTTGCCCAAATTTACATGGGTTGTAAGTGGCAGAAGAAAGATTTTAAACTTGGGTTCTCTGACTCTCAAACCCATGTCCACCCATAGATGTGTGAAAATGTCCTTCAGTGCCTTGTGGGAAGGATGGGCTGCTATCCTTGGGCTGCAATCATTGGCAGGGGGAAAAAAACCCAAAAACCTAGAATCATTATGGTATCATGGAAAGAGTGAGAGTTAGGAGTTAGGTCCTAGGCTAGCTTTGTCACTACTTTGTGGTTTAAATTTGGAAAATTCACTTCTCCCTTCTGGATTGACATCCCTATCTATAAAATTATGGGGTAGAAGTTGGTCTTTAAGAATCCTTCCAGCTCTAAGGTTCTGTAACTATGTGACTGCTTTTGATTTGGAAAAGGAAACCCCAGGACTGAGGCTGGGACCGGACTCAGCACTGGAGGCAGACAGCATTTTCTATGCAGGGGGCAGTGGCTTCACTGGGAGCTGGCCCTCAAAGGGAAGTACGTTGGGCCCCTGCCAGGTAGACAGACAGCATGAATGAAACACCTGTTGTGGCTTTGCGAGAGTTTGGAAAGCCATTTGATTATGGAAAGGTACAGACTGACCTTAAAGCTAATTGAATTCCCTGGTGTTGGGTAACACATACTGTGCTCTCAGGACTGGGTGGGGAGGGAGGGGAGACTTTTCATCCTCTGGATGAATGGAGAAAGATAAAAGATAAGCAGCAGATGCATTTCCCCTTGAATTTCTGCAAAAACAATGAGCAGACATTTCATAGCCATCAAGGATATCAGGACTCAGCCCCTTTGCCTTTTATTAGATTATTTATACAGGAAGCCAGAATTTGTTGGGGGAAATTAAAACAAGATATCTTGAAAAAGCATCTCATAAAATAATAATAATAATAAAGGAGAAACAGACTGATCTTGGCTAGCCAGGTGAGCATGGGGTCTCTGCTGAGGGGGGTGGCCACATTGTTCTTGGCTTAGCCCTCCCCAGCACCCAGCACTGGACCTCCCTTCCTCCAAACTACCTTGTTTGATCTGGTTGGGAAGATGTGGGGTTAAGAATGAGATCTTCCTCTATGTTAATGCTGCAACAGCTAGGGTTGCAAGATAATAGCTTGTAATAAAAAGAACTCTGGATTTGAGGTCAGAAGAAGGATTCAAATCCCAAACCTGTGATTCACTGTGTCAGTTGCATCACACAGGTGATGCAGCAGGTCCTGTCACTTCTCTGTAACTGTTTCTTCATCCATAAGGTTGGATTAAATGATCTCCAGCATTCCACCCATCTCTAAATTCTATTTGTTCTCTAGGGCAACAAGGCACTTTCCCACTGGCTGAGTGAGAATGAGGAGGAGACAAGAGATGGACAATGGTCTGGTTTGCTTTTTCAAGGGAGAGATTTTATTTCATCCCTTGGCTCAGGGCATGGTCTGGGGAAAGAATCTCCACTCAGTATACAACCTCACATCTGGTTATCACAGACTGACCTTGAAAAACTATTGAAATGCCAGCACCCAAAATCATCCTCAGCTTATCAGGTTACTTAAGATGGTAGACAGGAGAGATGGGACCAGCACTAATTGGTGTCAAGGTACGATTAATTGCAGAGGCACCTAGCCTCCTGGAAAAGCAGATAGACCATCTTTCCTCTCTTGTCCTCACCCCTATCCCCTGGCCAACAGGAAAGTGCATTGTTGCCCTCAGAGAAGTCGAAGGATTATAGAATTTAAAAGATAGGTAGGACCTTAGGCATCACCTGGACCAACCTCTTATTTTACAGATAAAGAAACTGTGGTCCAGTGGTGGTAATATTGAATCCTTCTCAATCCCTTCAAAAACCTTTCAGTAGTGGAGTAAAGAAACTCTAGGAGGAACAGAGATCAATATATCTGATCATTGATTCCTAAAAAGACTTCGTAAGACCAGTCTCTCATCTGTTAGCCCACCCTAGGCAAACCAAGCATTCATGCCATCAGAAAGCTTATGTAATTAGTTGAAAGTAAAACTGGGATTGGAGGAATGGAACAATAAACTCAGTCCAAAAAGCCCAAGTAAACAGACTCTAAATTAGGCTATAATCTGAAAGCAAGATACCTTTCTCATCTGGGGCCATAATGACATAAACACATGAAAAAGGGTTAATCAAGAAGGCCACACTAGATCTAGGAGAACTTTAGGATAGGATTGTTTAGAAAGTTTAAGACCATCTGGTCCACAGACTCATAAGTTCAGATCTGGAAAGGAACCTTAGAGGTAGGTCATCAAGGCCAACTCCTTCATTTTACTAATGAAGATGCTGAGGCTGAGAGAGGTTAAGTGGCTTGCCTAGAATCATGCAGCTAGTATCTGAGTCAGAATCTGAACTCAGGTCTTTCTAAGCCCAATACTAGGTAGTTTTCTTTAATACACATTTCTAATGACCTCCCCTTAGCACATCATTTCAGAATTTGTATATACTCTTTCCCCTTGTAAATAAACCGCAGAAAACATACTTTTATGTTAGAGTTTATGAAGACAGGTAAGAGGAGGGAATCAGGTGTGAGTGCTAGGTAAGGACACCTAAAGATAGTGGTGGGAAAAGGAGGACAAGAGAATTTTAGAATCAAAGAATCTCTGAGATGTAAGGGACCTCAGAGGCCATTTTAGTTAAACCCACACTTGTATATGAATCCTCTCCGCAATATGATTAATGAGTAGTCATCTAGCCTTCATATGAAGACCTTTAGTGAAGAGTAAGCAGGAGTGTGGTGGTAAATGTTTAACAACCAAACGGGGGAGGAGGAGCAGGCTATTGTAAACCTGCCACACTTTTAAGTTTCATTTTCTCCATCACTATCTTAAGTCTAGGTAATCAGAGAAAGGAAGGAAGGAAGGAAGGAAGGAAGGAAGGAAGGAAGGAAGGAAGGAAGGAAGGAAGGAAGGAAGGAAGGAAGGAAGGAACCAAGCCCTAATTTGTAGCATTTTCCAATTTCTGAGGTGTAAATACTCACACTGAAAATTTAACATTGAAAATCTAACGTTGGCTCTCAGAGATCTGATAGGAGCTGGCTCCAGCACAACCCTGGGAGTAACCCAATATTCACCCAAGGCAAGCTATTTTATTTTGGATAATTCTAATTAATACAAAGTTTTGCCTCTGAATTGAGGGGTTTTCTTTAAATAGCTTCAATTTACTTTCTTTAAAAAATTTTTTTATTAATCTGTCCCTCCCTAACCCCCTTCTAATTGAGCAAATAATAAAAAGAGGATCAAGCCCTCAATACACAGCTGCATAGCCCAGCAAAATAAATTCCCACATTAGCCATGTCTGAAAACGAGCAATATCTCTTTCTGCATTTCGAGTTCATCATCTATCTCTCTGTCATAAGATGAGTGTTGTGTTTCATCTTCATTCTTCTGGACTCAGGGTTTATCATTGTGTTGATTAGGATTCTAAAATCTATCAAAATTACTTTTCTCTACCATGTTATCATTGTAGAAATTATTCTATTTCTACTCACTTCACTATGCATCAGTTTAAATTTAACTCTCTGAAATGTCCATCCATTGCTCCTTGTTCTGATGAGCAGAATGAGTCTGATCCCACATAGCAATCCTTCAGATACTTTAAGACAGTTTTCATGCTCTCCTCCTCCTTGAAATATTCTCTTTTCCTAGTTATACACCCCCAGTTCTTTTCATTATTCCTCATATGGCATGAAATATAGCTATCCTTTTTGCCCACCTCCAGACATTCTCTAACCTATCAACATGCTTCCAAACATTTGGTGGTCATAACTGAACACAATATTCCAGATGTGATCTGACCAGGGCAGAGTACAGTAAGACTCACACCTCCCTAGTGCTGGACAGCATGCATCTCTAAATGCAGTCTGAGTACATTAATGGTTTTGGCTGCCACATCGCAATGTTTCCCACTCGTTGAGCTCATAGTCTCCTAGAACTCCAGTTCTTTTCCATCTTGCACATGGGAAATTGGTTTGAACCCATGTTAAATTTCATCTTATTAGGTTTTATACATTTTTCTAGCCTGTCAAAATCATTTTAGATATTGATGCTGTTACTCAATGTGTTGGCTATCCCTCCTAGCTTTGCACCACCTGCAAATTTAATACGTATGCTATCTGTGCCTTTATCCAAGATAGTGATTTAAAAAAAAAAACATACTGCATGGACCTATGACAGATCTGGACTGCCTGAAATGATGGCTTGGGAATGGTAAAGCTTTAAATCAAGAGAGCCAAATCAGCCCAGAGGCCAGGAAGATTTGGAGAGTGTATCTCAATCCTGCAAGCTGGGGTTTGGGGATCTGAGTTTAGTGTAGGGAGAAAGGTAAAATATCTGGGAAATCAAGACAAATTTCTTTTGATCAAGAAGAGAAATTAGGGGGCAGCTAGGTGGCGCAGTGGATAGAGCTCTGGCCTTGGAGTCAAGAGGACTTGAGTTCAAATTCAGCATCAGACACTTGACACTAGCTGTGTGACCCTGCACAAGTCACTTAACCCCAATTGCCTCACAAAAAAAATAATAATAATTTTTTTTAAAAAAAGAGAAATTGGGTCCCCAGGAAGTTGACGGTGTGTCAATGAGGCCTAAGGTGCATTTTATAGAACATCAGGATTAAAAGAAACCTTAAAGATCTTTTACTCTAACCCTCTCATTTTATAGAGAAGGAAACAGGGTTCCTGGTGAGATTCTGGTATCCTTTCTATAATGTTTCTTTAGATCAAGAGGAGACATATTTTTGATTCTCTGAGTTTGTTTACAGTCTGAATACACCAGCCTTCTTTCCCTTATTCTACTTGAAACACCGGTTTTACCTACAGTATATTCCAGATAATGAAACATACATTTTGATACATTCCTTTTGGTTTTCATATAGGAAAGATAAGGTTACTTTGTATTTCTTCCTATTGCTTTTTTATTTTTCTGATGAGATTACCAATCTCATGGCCCCCATCACTCAGACTCCCCCCACCTCCCCAAGGACAGTTAACATTGTCATCAAATACTAACCTTTCTCTACAGCCTATTCCCACCCGGAGGGGACAGTCCTCTTCCTTGATTGGCAAGGATGGTGAGCTAGAGGCTATTCTTAAAGCCTTTGGTAGGAAAAGGTTTCAAAACTATGGAGCCAGAAGAGACCTTTTAAGCTACATCCTTCTCATTTTTCAGATGAGGAAACTGAGACCTGCAAATAGGAAATGACTTTCAGGAGTCCACACAGTAGCTAGTTAGCAGCAAGACTGCAACTAGAACCCAGATCTCCTGCTTCACAGTCCAATAACACTTGCTATCAGGTACCACACCAATGCTGACTCCCTTCATCCCTGATGTCTGGGGTGTAGTAGGTAGATCATTGCACTTGAAGTCAGGAAGAGCTAACTTCTAATCCAATCTAATCATCCATCCTCTACCACTTAGTAAGTGTGTGACCTTGTACAAATTAGATAACCTTTTGAGCCTCTGTTTTCTTATCTATAAAATGAAGGAATTGGATTAGATGACCTCTAAGGTCCCTTCTAGGTCCAAAACTCTGATCATTATGAACCGGGCCCTTAAGTTTAGTACAGGGGTAGGAATAATCCGTTCTTAGGCTTTAGTACCTTCCCTTGGAATTCTTACATAGACTTTACCACTATTCCGGGGGGAAGTCTCTTGTCAGTGCTTCAGTTTTCTCATCTGCAAAATGAGGATAAGATGTAGGGGAGAAGAGGTGAGGACCAAAGGGTCCTTTGCAGTTGTGACAGTCTAGTATCTTAATTTAACTGTCCTAGGTCAGAATAATGGTGGAACTAGGAGGATTGAGTTTAACATCACACTCTCCTACAATACTATATGAACAAGGAACTCGTGGTTCAGACCTGTGGCAGTTTGGATTAACCTTACACTGAGGCGGATTGATCTGGGAACCACCATAAGGCCTTTGGTTAAGAAGAATATAATAGCAGTTTTTAGGACTTCAATTCCAGAGATCCCTGGGAGCCTCCTTGCTGACTTCTTTTTAACCTTTGTGCCAATGGCTTTTTTCTGTTTTTATCTTTCTAAACTGCTTTCAATCACCTGGGGAATTGCTTCAACCTAGGAGTATTGGAATATGTTTTTAGTAAAAGGATTTTATTTGAGCCCCTGGTCTATGAGTGATCCATAGCCCCAGAGTTTGATCCCTACCTGCAACACATTCACTGCCAAAGAGATTTTCCTAAAATATAGCTGTAACCATTTCTCCCTTCACTCACAAACAC